ATATACCTAACTATTTTTTCAGCAAATATATACAAAAAAGGGTTAATATTAATTCAAAAAATGTATATACTCTTTTAAATGTGTATTTAAAACTACTKTATTACAAAATACACATTTATTAAACATGAAAATAATATTAATTAGTGCATAAACTATTAAAGTTAAATTTTACATTGGTTTACCACTTTAAGTATCAGGATTACACTGTACAACAATTATTTTGCTGATATTTTCAAATTTGAAGGACCTTCGACGATCCGACAATATGTTYTTKTAGACTGAAAATCACCGCTCCACGTCCACAGAGTTCATCGGTGCGTACTTAAAGTTTACAATGTCGTCWGCTTCTATAACATCAGGAAGTCCATCAAATGAATCCGTTTCATCCACTAGTATTTTAGAAATTTTTGACAGTACTTTATACCCAGAATTTTTATCCAAGACTTGTTGAAATTTTGTGTTGATTGATTTACCTTGAGGAGTTAATGCTGCAATCGCTAGTTTTTCTGAAACAATGTTTATAATGGCAACCGARTTGGATAGARGTTTCCCCTTTTCTTCAAGAGATGTTAGAGCTGAAGATAAGAACGAAAAATTTGATTTTATAAAAGCTAAATTGGCTTCAACTCTTCGTTCACCAAAAACTTCTTGAGCTGTTCTTATAGACAAAGCATCATTGGGATCAAATATGTTAATAATTTTTTTAATGGTTTGATACGAATCACAGTAATAAATAGCCGCCGTCAACCATGTTCCCCAACGCGTTATGACTGGTTCTGGGGGCAAACTTAACTCTGGTGCTTCACTTTTAAATATCTGTATTCTTGATGGACATTTAAGGAAGACTTTTTTGACGGACGAAATAAGTTTGTCAACCAACGGAAAATCGCTACGGATTTGCTCAGCTACTCRATGTAAAGCGTAAGCGAGGCAAGTTACATGAAGCATTTTTGGGTAAAATATTTGGATCGCTGATCCAGCCTTTACCATATATGGTGCGRCGTCRMTAACTAGCAACAAAACATTATTGTGTTCTACTCCTTGAGGCCAAATTAAATTAATCGTTCTATCAAAAAGTTGAGCTATTGTTGTATTGTTTGTTTTTTCAAGATGTTCACAATTAACAAGCATGACTTTGCCAGGTACCTCAGAATCAAGTACACCAACAATAACATTTGCTACATAGCGCCCGTCAACATCTGTGGTCTCGTCGATTGATACCCAAATTTTACGGTTAAAGACCTCGGTTAGGTAGAGTTAGTTAGAGTTTTTTGATAAATACTGTCTACATAATTTTTCCTCAAGGTCGATTCATCAGGGATATTTTTAGATGTATACTTTTCTAAGAAGTTTTTTAATTTAAAATTATTTACCTTGTAGAGTGGAATATTAGCAAAARCTAAAGCTTCAGTAAGATCGGRGTTAAAATCAGATTTCTTGTTTGTATTTTCAGTTAATAACAATTGACTTGTACTCTGTTCGCGTCTWTTTCTTTGATTAAACGCATGCTTATGCTTTGCAGTCGTTAAGTGTTGCGTAACTAAAAATCGTTTAGTTGCAGATACTTTAACCTCACAAAATTTGCATAATAATATTTTTCCGTCGGAAGTAAATATATGTTTCCCAAACTCTTTCACTAAACTACTTAATGAATTTTTCGGCATTTTTATTAGTATATATATCAAATGTGAGTTAGAAAAAATATTTAAATGCAGTGTTGAACATGCGAACTGCAGCAAACAAACACAACTAAATACTGAATGTCGACAAAAATAATATTCAATTTAAACGCGTCGTAATCTCGTAACTTCACACTTATTGGTAAAACCCACTGACTCGCTCATAATATAATAAAATAATAATAATAAAATCTCATAATAACATGCGGGTCTTACTCATAAACACAATTAACAAAAATAATTGTTAGTAATATGGACAATTTTTAATATTATACATATAATTTATAAAATAAATGCTACTTAATCTAGAAATAATCAATATATCATATATGCATTTATATGCTCAAAAATGTAAAATATGCAAAAATATGCAGAATAAGTTTGCTTATTTGTAATCTAGACTTCATGAATCGGATTTATATCATACTCCGGTGTAATTCTGGCTGTACAAAAAAAATATGCTAAGTCATAAACATCCGCGCTCTAATAATATATAAATAAATAGCATATTAACCAAAAGTATAAACATTTAACAAAAAAAATAACCATTTCAATTATAAAAATGATTATATTATTTATGTTAACCAACAATTTTGGTTTAAGAAAACCAACATGTCGACATTTTTTGGCTTAATTTTTGATCTTTTGTCTGATACCTACCACAATTATTCCTGTTTTGCTATCGCTTACTATCGATAACCCAAAAAATAAATATCGATTGTACACGATAGTATAAGCTATCGATAGTTTCCCACCACTAACAATGCGTTGACAGGGTCCATAGTTTTGCCTTCCGCGGTCCGCCAGTTGCCGATCCCTGCTCTATAAGCATATTTATAGGTAGGATCGGATTACACAAATTCGGCCCACCAAGTTTTTTGCACTTAATCGGCCTACTTACAAACTTAATATCAATAACACCTATAAATACAACCATGTATAATATTATAATATGGTCTATGCAAGTCCAACACTTGACTCCATTTTTCCAACTTTAAACTCTTAACACATTTTCAGTAAGCAGCCTCATCATTACTTAAACGGCCCAAAACTATTGCGTCCCACCGARTTAACTCGGTAACTCGACGGGCCAATCCGATCCTGTATACAAGCATATGGCCTGCAGGCTGGCAGCTGCATTCTATACGTATATACTATATACATTCCAATATTTCTATAATAGTATATTAATGTTTATTATGTGACATACTGGTATAAGTGGTGTAACACAAGGTATTGCAATTTATCAAGATTTGATAAAATAAAAAATAAAACATTCAGTCGGAGTGCATTAGTGCAACTTACACACTGATCGGCCTTATCCCAAATTCCAAAATGATAGTATCGTAATATTTTGCCATATTAATAAATTATATAGACTTTTAAATAATATGTCTAAATTAGTAAATTGTATACGCCCTAAGGAAATCATAAATACTATTTTATTGTATTATAGTGTGAGAAAATCATTTGAGTTAACATACATATTATTACGTTTGTGTGACGTGGCTAAAGTGGTTTTTCACACTTGTACGTTAGACAGCCTGTCAAAACACTTTGAAAGGATCGTCCTAGGAAAGTAAAGTTGGTCAACGTGTAAGTACTTGATAAAAAAAATATTTTGGCGTTTCTTTTCATTAATTTTGCTACAATTTTATGTATTGTTCGCAAATAATTATTTCTGCATTTCGTTCAAGTTGGACGTAAATCATTTATATTATTTGGTCGAGCTACATAATTTTTATGTTTTATGTTTGTTCTGCTATAATAAGAATTACAGTTATAGTCGTCGGTCGTGCTCGTTGTGTAACCGAACTTGGTCTTTTAGGTATTCGCCATCACACATTTTCCAATTAAGAAAGAAGGCAGTTAATATTGCAGTTTACCCTAAGGTAAATAGATACAAAACAAATATAAAAATATAAGTGAATATCATTTACCTCTTGGCTATTATTATTAACGCGTTGAACGCTATGGCGTTATCAATCTTCAGGCAGAATGTTTTGCCAACGGGTCACCAACTTTATTTTTAATATTATTATAATTATTATGTATTATTGGTATCAAAGAATAAAATAAAAATAGTAAATTTGTATTATTTTAAAAGATAAACAACTTCAGTCGTCTTCTCTTTTTTTATAAACCTTTCCCTTGTAAGTTACCTTATTTTCTTAACATTGAATATGAGTATTTAGGTTACTAAAATGTTGTGGATGTTCTATATGAATAAATGTTTTTCTTAAATAAACTTGTCAATTTTCAATATTTTAGGTACCTTTTAATTCATGAATGGTAATAGTTTTTAATTGTACCTATAATTGGGTACAAGGCACTATAAAATTAGTACATGTAAAAGAGTTTCCTTTTTTACTAATACATTTGTTGCATTAAAGCTRAAGAGTAAACAATAATATTTAGTATTTAACTCTCTCTAAATAGGTGTATCAGGTTTTAAGTTATTTCTTATTTGATAAAAAACTTATAAAAAAATCATTTTGTATGAAATTAGTAATTAAGACACCTACCTATCAAATGAGTTTTTAATCAAATATTAAATATGTTTCAAGTAGTTTTTAACTACCCACTAATTTTGTATAAGTTGATAATAATGTTTGTTTAATATGTTTTATGCTTTTGTGTAATTATGCCCWAAATTATAAGACCCATATAACATGAAAATGTTTAATCAATCTTATTGAGTAAATATAAATTATTCTGTAGTAATTTATTTGTTTATCCTTAGTTTATAAACACTAGGTCTTGTGTAATAAACATTTAATAAATATTTAAAGTATTTTATATTATTAATTGCTTAATTAAAAACTTTATAAAAAATTTGTCAAATTAATTAATATTATTCAGTCAAAATGTCAAATACAATTTAATACTTGCATAAGTTACTTATTAAAATAGTGAGATAGTTATCAACTATCAGGCATCTTTATTAAACACATAACTTATGTTTTAAGTACAAACATATAAATTAATTAATAGGTAATTTATTTAACTTGAATTATAATTTTCAAATAATTTGAATTAAATCTATTTTTTCTGAAAAAGAGTTGTAATTACTGTGTATTTTRACAATTAAATAAAATTTATAATTATTAGGCATGTAAAAACCATTATTTATCAAGTTAATACTCAAGGTCATTTAATTAGTTCTTCTTTTACCTCTATTTTTTATGGTGTCAAATTTGATTGACCTTGTATTTATTAATGAACAATATTTAATATCAATTAATAGGAATTTAAGCACCATGTGTACCGAAATATTTTATGATTATAGTAAAGAAAGGAAAATAGGAATTTAGCTTTAATCCGATTTCATATTCTCACTTGGGTAGAAATATGGTCAAGTTTTCATGTTGGCCATGTAAACACAACTTTGCTTGAATTGTAAACATATGACATGTATACTTACCTACTTACCATTTTTTAAATGGATTTACTGCATTCTATAGTTTTTTTTAAATATTTATTAATTTAATAATCTCATTGTTTTAAATATATTTATTGAGATTTTACAGTAGAATTTAAATACTAACAACAGCAGTCAGCTGAACATAACATTTTGTAATTAAGTTGGATTAATATTCTGTAAAAACTAAAAACCATTGGTAGTTAAATATTGCTTATTTAATAATACCACTAATTCCGCTAATATTATTTGTATAATTTGATGTTATTTTGCTGATCAGTTGTATAATAAGATTTGAATGGTACATATACACTCAAGATTCTGTTTTTCTTTTTAATATTTGTCTATGGTTTTTAAAATTCTTCTAATTTCATTAAACTAATGTAGTTAAATAGTTACCTATGTCTATTGAAAAAAAAACAACAATATAAAAACTAAGAATTATATAATTTGTTTTATTTTACGGAGGTTATTCATTAGAATTTATCAGATATTTTTATACACAGAAAAGCTTATGATTTCATAATATGGTTTAGACTTAACTAATTGGAAATTAAAATTCAATTAATAATAGGTATTTAAAATTGTATTAAATAAAAATAATAAAAATAAATTCTAGGATTAGCTATAATTATTGATTTACAAATTATTCAACATCAATTTCTAACAACTATTTTACATTTTTTGATGACATTTCATTTTAGACTGCTCAATTAACAAATAAATTCTTTAACTGAAGTTTGAATAAAAATATTTTGTTCTTAAAACAGCACTCTTATCTTCAATCCATCTGCACTAGGTGTTCTAAAACATTCAAATAAAATATAATTAAATATAATTATAAATTCTATAAATTAAATGATTTGATTATCAATAATAAAACAACTGTGTTATATTTAGAAGTTATAATATATACTTATTAAAAAAAAAAAATACTGGAATTCCAAGTGTTTTTTAGTAGTATTTAAAGATGTTTAATATTTTTCAATACTTTTATACTTATTATGATACTTAGTTGTTCAGATTTTATGATCATATAGTAAATCATTTTAAATAATAAAATAAAAGTAATATTTTATTGCATGTAGTTATAAGATATTTTTTTCATTCTAAACACTTCCCTTTAGTTTTTACCAATACCCGTTGTTAACATGACTGATATATAGATTGATGTGCAATGAGGTGGCAGAGATCATATTTAAGATAAATTTGATTGTTTTATATATTATATGATGTAAGTGGAAGGCATTATGAAATTTATTTGAATGTTGAGATTTTGAAGGTTTTATAGTTACCTTCTTGTRACAAAATTAAGTTATAGTCAAACAACAAAAATTAGTAAATACAAATTATTGTGTTAAACTTGAGGGGGTGAATCTGATTTAAGTTGTACCTGCTAATATAGATAAATAAATTGCTATATATATATAAACATAGGCACTATGTATCAATTATTGAAAACAATATGCATATGATGCATCTGCTACAAAGTTTTGTTTTATAGTAACTGATTTTCAGCTAATGAATGTTGTTATAAAAAGCTGATTTAAAATGTAATACTATTAAATAGATTTTTAACACATTATGATGAATATTCAAATAATATTTGTTTTTGAGTATACCTTGATGTATGATATAAATCACTTATGGATATATAAAGGGTAGGAGAAGTTAAATAATTAAAATTTTAAAATTACATATTTGTTTATGCTATAAGAATGTCAGCATAACATTTTTTTGTATCTATTTAGAGCTGATTTTTAAAAAGTCTTCATTTTGTATACCAACAATTCTTAAACAGTGGTACATTTAAATTCTTAGAATTCTGTGAAAGTGATCAGGGAGTCAATGAATATTCAAATTGTCTATAATACCTATATTATAATCATTTTATATCATTTTTTTTTTTTTAATTGATAATCCTAGTTTTTGGTACTAAAATATTAAAAAGTAGTACATTTTCAAATGTTGATAACATAATACAAAATAAAACTATTCTAAACCACTTAATGTTGTATTAGTGGTATTTGTCTAATTCAAAGATTTTGGGTTCAAAATGAGAAATGTTAAATATAAAAATATAAAGAAGATACAACTTATATTATGTTGTTGTTTACTTAAATTTAAGTATGTTATTGAAAGATCATTTCTGTGATAACCAACAAAATAACACTGATTTTCGTACAAAATAAATTAAGAATCATAGTTAATAGCTCTATTCTTTTATTGGTTATTAAATTGATCTGTACTTACTTGTTACTCTATTATACTATAAGTATAAATGAACAAGTATTAAAATTAATTATGATCTGTAAATATTACCTTTACTTTTTTTTTTTAAATATAAAAATTCTACATCTGAGTTCTAACTAAATAATCTATTTAAATACCAATTCCATCCCAAGAAATAAAATGCTACAAACAATTTGTCTGCTCATAGAATATATAGTTATAAAATAATAAAATAACTTAATTAGAAATATTAAAATATAGGTACTATGGATTTACGATATGATTTTATACTAAATATTTCCTAAAAATTTGAGCGAGCAAGAAAAGCATTTTTATTTATGTTATATGAATTAAGAAAATATTATTTAATATTTAGTCAAGGAAAGGATTAACTTTTTTATCAAACAGTTAAATTGCCGAAAATACATTAACATTATTAGAGTATACAGACTTATAGATTTACAACTTAAATAATATATTTACCTAAGTCAAAGTGATGTATTATCGCTTAAAATATATATAGATATGTGTACTAAATAATGTTGAGTTTGGTACAAAAATCTGATATCCCTTTAAAATACTTGTTACCAAATAAGTATGTAGCCTAACAACTGTACACCGACATATATAATATATATCACATAACTAACCGGTTGTTAACTAATCTATTTTAATATTATTGAGAATAAGTTTTAATAATTCATTTTTTTTTTTTAAGCATGAAGTTTATCAATTTTGTTTGTTCATAGATTCTGTTATATCAAAATAAATTTGAATTTTTGGTTCATATATTTACCTGCCAATGTTAGTGATCTTAATAATAACCTTAAATAGGTACTGAAACGTCTTAAGATAATTTGTTATATTCTAAAATAACATTTTATAATAAGATCATCTTTTAAACTATATATTATTAGAATTGCACAAAAATTGTGATACTTATAGACGATTCCTCTAGAAAAAAATTATCATATATATATTATTAAGTATAAATCTTACTATTTGCAAACATTTTGAGGCAAACCTGAGAATTTCTAGGCATCAATACACAAATATAATACATTGAATTTATTGGTACAAATTTCTTTATATTTCCTTGTGTTATAATTTTTAGCTATGCTTTTGAAACAATAGTTTGACTGTGGTGGAGAGCGAAGGTAGTGTGTACAGATTTGTTTTCATTTTGACACGCCAATTAGAGTACCAGCGTGATAAATCATTCAAATAGCTTTGGAGAGGTTAGGTTAGGTTACTGAGTATTATATAGAGTTGACGATGCAACTGCACCTTGAGAAACGTTGACTAAGATTGGGGAGATACTGGAGTGTACTGTTCCTGATCTGACGGTATGAATTGAAAAAAAGGTAATATGAAGCGAGTAAGAATGATTTTAATTTGAAAAGAAGCCCGGGGTGCCAGACTTTGTCAAAGGTCTATACAATATCAAGGAATACTGCCGAGGTGTAAAGTTTCTTTTCAAAAGAACAGAMAATGGTATCAACTAGACGGTGTATTTGGTGAATGGTTGAGTGATGTTCCCTAAATCCAACTTGTGTGTCAGGAATTAATTTCTTTTTAATGATGATTGGGTAGATTCTGTTTRATATAAATTTTTCTAAGTGTTGAGAAGAAAAGTTGTAGTTTTATAGGCCTGTATGAGGGGTTATCTATATGTTAGTTTGGTTCAGGGAAAATAATAATTGTGGCGAATTTCCATTGAATCGGGAATTATGAAATTTGGAGAATAGCATTAAATACATGAGTAAGGTGTATTTTAGTTTTATTGGTAAGTCTGCGGGCTATTTCGGCAATTATCAAATCATGTACAGGAGAATTACTTATTGTAAATTTATGCATGAATGATTTTACCCCATTTGAAGTGAATGGCTTGGGTGGAATTATTAAAATATAACCTAATTAATAAGCTCTTTCAAATACCTTTTTAAATGAACACACCTTCATAATATATACAGAATATATTCACTTAAAATTGACTTAATTTTTTTTTATGTAAAAGTAAAATCACCGATTCCAAAAACTATGGAATAATAATCTTTTGGGGATCTAACACACTACTCTGTTTAAATATTGTCTGTTGAATAAAAGTTCTTATCATTAAAAATAAGTTTTGKCTGTTGGTTGCATAAGAAATAGGTCTAAAAAGCATGATGATTTTCACGAGAGATGGAAAAGATSAATAAATAACAAATTATTAATAAATATTAAGCAGAAAAAAATCTATTTATTTAATCATTTGATAACAAATTTTAATAATTTTTTACAAATCTGATACAATATAATRCTGATATGTTCTTAAAAAAATTTGGTTACTTATTTAACTTCATAATTATTTTATAGTTATAGAAAAATATTTAAATTGTATAAAATTGTATTCATAATATCTGTCTTATTGTCAACAGTTTTATTAATTGAATTTTAATTATAAGTTTTAATACAGTTTTTATACATATTATTATGTGTTATTATACATAAATACCTATCAATGAATCAATTCATTATCAATAWCGATGATTGACATGTAAATAAATATATCAGGTACTGTGACTTAAATAAACGATAATTTGTGAGAATAAAGCAATACATTTATGTTTGTAACATTGCTTGATAGAAAAGCTATTTTCAATTTATTATATAATAAATTAAATACTCATTAAACTAAAATTTTACTTGAAAATAATGTACAAATGTACCAACAAATTTAGAAATTCATATCAATATATTTTCAAAATAAAAAATGAATAATTAATGAGGTACTAATATTCTAATTTGTTTTTAGTGTTATTTTATTAAAATTATAACTTTTTTTATGCGTGTTAGGTGCCCATAACAATAATATAGTATGAAATAGGTAGTTAACTCATAAGATGTAAAATAAAAATAATATTGAGATTGTTAGTTTATATTATTTTAGCCCAAAAACAGAAGATGTTCATTCCTTTGCATGCACCTTTTTAGAAYGATTAATAATATTTTAATTTGTATGCATAATAATTTATGTTAGGTACTTAAATATAATTAATACCTAAAAATATTGGATTATTACGGAGATTATTATGTTAAATAAATTTAAATGACATATTCACACAGGCCCATCAGTCTTCTTCCCCTATTTTCAAAAATTTTCGAATGGATTATCCTAAAACGCATAATTCCTACCATAGAAGCCAGCATACCTAATACCCAATTTGGATTTCGTCATAACCACACTACAATACACCTAGTCTCTAGTGGATAAAATATTGTATACTCTTGAAAAAAAGCTTATTCGCACAGCTATCTTCCTTGACATACCACAGGCATTCGACAGAGTATGGCATAAAGGTCTAGAAGTCAAATCTATTCTTCTGCCATACTATTTTCTATTATTTAAATCCTATTTAAAAAACAGGCATTTTGCCGTTCAATCTGGCTTATCCTTATACAAASTATCACCAATCCACACAGGGATACCTTAAAGATCTGTAACAGCGCCTCTACTCTCCAATCTATTCAGATCAACCTATCACCCCCAACACTACAACTGGGGACTTTGCCGATGACAAGGCGCTTCTAGCGATCCATGCTGACCCTGAAATAGCCTCAAACCTCGTACAAAATCATCTCGATCTTATATGAACCTGGTATAAAGACTGAAGAATAAAAATCAACGAAACAAAATCCATCCACTGTACGCTCACACTAAGGCAATTAGTCTGCCCTCCCATCTACCTCTCCTCTCGACCGCCCTAAATGTCCAATATCTTGGTCTACATCTAGATCGCAGGTTAACTAGGGCAGCTCACACCCACAACAAAAGAATTGCCTTAAATAATTACTCTCGACAATTAGTTATCTTCTCACATCCCAACACAACAACTTAAAAAACAAGCTACTATTATACAAACTTCTGCTCAAACCGATCTGTGACCTATTCATCTAAAATTGTATATATCTCTACCTCTCCTTTATCTTGTATACTCTCTCTTGCTAGTGCATTAAAATCCTAGCCCAACATCCTAACCTTAAGTGCCTCCAATGGGTGGCTTCTTGTCTCCTGGCACTCAAGCCATGTCACCTCCATCACATATTATGTTTATTGTAAAATAATATTTTCAGTTTGTGTAGGTATACAATAATATATGATAAAAAAAAAATCACATGTGATAGGTTCTGTTAAATATTATATTATTAAGAACAATTTGACCAGTTAACCAATAGGACTGCATTATTTTTATAATACAAAGCTTGCCCATAACATTTTGATTGCTTATTTGTTATACCGATTTATTAATTATTATAACTCATAGGTGATAATTAAAATTTGTTTTCATTTTTACTTCATGTTATTTGTTATTGTTATTTACTACATGAATACCTTTTAATATAAAGTTAATAAATATTAGTTGCTTATTCAAATATTATGCATTTTATCAACTTTTAATTTACATTGTTTAACTAAGTTTTACTATTAGTTCATTATATTTTAAATTTTTTTATATATTAAGGGATACATGATATGATTTAAGGTATTTATTAATGTATAGCAAGAACATAACTCATTTGGTTAAAAATAAATAAATAAATAGGTAAAATTACTGAAAAAAGTATGTATTTAACATTCAGATATGTAGGTACCTAATATTATTTTTGTATTATTCAGGATATTTAAATTTTGGATTCTGAGATTCTTAAATATTAAATTAATCTTCATCTACTTATGTTAAATCTATTCTAACATATTACTAATTTAGTAATTATCCATCCAATCAATAATAATATATTWAAAAAAATCTACAAAAGGCAATAGCACAACTAAGTACATAAATAACACAACTATATTTTTTAATAGTAAATTGTTAGTTTTCATTATTATTTGAGTTTTTTAAAATTGAATGTTAAATTAATTAGCTTGTTCAGTTTTTGTATTGTAAAATTATTATAATTTATTTTCCAGTAGGTATGAAATGTATCATAATATATATATAGCAACTTATTATAATTAGTTTGATAGAAATTAAATTATGGATAATTCGCTGAATGGTATAGGTACCTTATTTTATTTATGGTAACATTTAGATGAGGTTATTTTCTAAATTTTTGTATTAAATATAACATCAGGGAGTATTTTACTTATACTATCTATTAAGATTGTAGGTACGTAATTTATTTTAATTTAAACTTTACTATAAGTATAATATAATAAATTTATTAATCCAGTAATATAATATTAATAATACAGGATTAAAAATGGTAACAGAAATCAGAGACGTGTATTTAAAAAATAAAAGATATGTTTAAAGTATTAAGTATACATTTAATATTTTTAAAGCTAAATTATGATTACATTATAAATTATAAAGAAGGTACAACATTAAGAAAACATTTTTTTGTTTGTACTTATTAAATAATGAACTCAATAATAAATCATTGTTAGTATATTTATTTTGTCTAGTTAAAATTCTAAATGAATAGCTCAGGCAGTTGTAATATCAATAATTAGATAAATTGCTATGCGATATTGTAAATATTTACTACCCATATGCAAATGTTTTAAATATTTCCAAGTCTACTATAGTTTATTATTATGTATATTTGTATAACGTATGAAAACAAATGTTGAAAAAATAATAATAAGAAGTATTATGATTAATATTGGATTATAGAACATTTGAACAATTTACCTGTAAAGTCCGGTAATGAATTGATCTTATTTTTCGTTTAGTATATATTACGCACTTGTCTCAAATAGGTATTTTGTATTTTTTTTTTTATTTTAAAACCGTATACGCACGAACATCCTCACGGTACGCTTGATCGTTAGTGACTGACGAAGTGACGATTGTTGTTATCGCCAATGCTGTTACACTATTATACCGTATTGTCATCATTGTCGTCTACAGTGTTAACGTCTGTCTGGTTATTTTTACGGCTCCTAAAACATTTAGGTTGTGTAATGGTTTTTTAATTTCAATTTAATTGCTAAAGACTTCGATTTATACCAATTAAATTAGCCATTAATGCAGTTAAATATAACATTGTTACTTTTCGGATTTTCATGAAGAATGTTGCAAAATTTATTGAAATACAATTGTAATTTTTGAAATAAAAATATTGTATTTGTGTTTATCATCCATGGACCCGTTTTTCTAACTTGTTTTTCTAGGTTGGGTCTATGATGTTGCGTTTGTGATTTGTGTTAAGCAAGTAAATTTCGACTATAATTTTTATAACTTCAATTTTTAAGACTTCAAGTAGAATTTGTCACTATCTGAAAATAGAGACATGTATCAATAATGTTCTCATATAATCATAGGTGAATGTCGTATTTACCCTCCGCCAAGACCATGAGCTTTGGCGAAACTATTTTACGTAAATACGGCTGGACTCAAGGTAAACAAAATAATTATTTTTTCAAAAACACATGCAGTTGTAAAGAAATTATTTTTTCCCGTTGTCTGTAAACATTTCTTGACCTTAATGTTTTACAAAATATTTAATACATTGTTAGGTCTTATGTTAACGTCGGGCTTCTATACTTGCTTGCAATCTGTCTGTCGGTTCGAATCTCAGTGCTTTTGCTGGATTAGGTATTGTAAATTGATATCAATAAACTTGGTAAATGTTTATCATATGTCTGTGTCAAATAATTACTTTTGAAATAATTTGTACTGGTAATCAAATATGAGTTGTCAACATATTAGTCATTTATTTGAATCGGTTGTCGATACGTGTTAATTTAGTATTGATAAATATTATTCAATTTAATTCTCTGATGAAAAATTTGTATTGCATAATTTTTCCTCTGTCAGAATAATAATAACATGGTGGAATTTTTTTTTATACATTWATGCTCTATATTAAGACATCCTTGGGTATGATATATTCTATCTTATTGGGCATTAATAAATAATAGTATCGTGGACTTGTGGTATGAGGTTAATTTACAATTTAATGATGAATACTAGCCATCCATGCTAGTGGTGAATATATTTTTAATATTAAAAATTTGCTTTTCCTTGCATTTTGTACTATTAATTAGTTGGTACCTCCCCTTCATTTRATTTACTTATGTATTTCATTCAAATCATATTATAAGAAAGTAGGTCTTACAAGTATGATGAGGGTTGAACAGATATATGTTAATTAATTATTGTAGAATGGGGTTGCCAGATGTATTTTTTTTTTTAAGTGAATTGTTCTATAAATTATTTAAACCATGGTTTAATATTTAAATGGCGGAAACATTAAATTTTGAAATTTGAAATAATTATCCAAGAATATGTACTATATATTTAGAATATATTATTAGTACATAAATATAAATATTTTAATTATTTTTAAATTTTATCTAGAAATAAACTAGGTCATTTGTTAATTCAATTTCTTTTGAATATCCTTATGTTAAAGGCTAACCTTTAGGTTGAACTAACTAATTATTTGTTAATGTTAAATAAGAAATATTTATTACTATTGGTTTAGTATCCTCTAAAATTACTCGTTAGTTAATAGTTGTTACCCTATTTTAATTTATATTATATTTAATGTATTATATTTTCAAATTTGTTGTATAAATAATATCTTTCTTGATTTTTCATGCATTCAGTTGAGGAATATAAATAAATAAAAATATAAACATGTTATTGTTTATTTTATAATCTCCGTGTACTAATAGCCAATAGGAAACACAATGGGTAGTAAATATTATGCATTATTTAATTGCATTTACCTTTCGTTATGTATCATTTGGACTAACCTATAGACTAATTGTGTTTAGGGTGGTGAGCGCCATGCATGAGGATCGTTGGTACTTCTCAAAAGAGCAGCTGGAGAATACACCCAGCAAACGATTTGGCATCGATGCTGATAAAGAGCTGTCATACCGACAGATTGCTGCCAACCTCATTCAAGAGATGGGCCAAAGGTTGCACACCACCCAACTGTGTATAAACACTGCCATTGTGTATATGCACCGTTTCTACATGTACCACCCCTTTACACTATTTCATCGCAATGCAATAGCTACTGCGTGTCTTTTTCTTGCTGCTAAGAATGAAGAACAACCTCGGAAATTGGAACATGTTCTCAAGGTTTCCATAATTTGTCTAAATAAACAACATGGTCATAATTTTCATCACATTGATAATAAATCTGAAGTTTATTTAGAACAAGTACAAGACTTGTTAAAAAATGAAGAAACTTTGTTAAAAACCTTAGGTTTTGAAACAGCCATTGATCACCCTCATACTCACATAGTAAGATGTTGTCATTTGGTAAGAGCTAGCAAAGATCTTGCCCAGACAGCATATTTCATGGCATCCAATAGCCTACATTTAACTACCATGTGTGTCCAATACAAACCAACCATTGTCGCTTGCTTTTGTATACATTTAGCTTGCAAATGGTCAAAATGGGAGTTAAAAGATAGTATGGAAGGAAAACCATGGTTTTGGTATGTAGATCAAAGTGTAACAACTGAACTACTAGAACAATTAACTACAGAATTTTTAACAATATTTGATAAATGTCCATCTCGTCTGAAAAAACGATTAATGGCCACCAATACAATGGACAAAAATGGAGCATTAGCAAATTATTGTTCTTCTCAACAAATTCAATCACCAACTCCTCCTTTGCCTTCTAATTACAAACACCAGGGTCATTCCCGAATGATAAATGCTAGGCCTACGCCGTCCAAATTTCCTAATCCTGTAGTCTTCCAACCTCCAACCAGAACTAATGGTGTTCCAGTCGATCACAAATTTGTAGTACCTACTACTAAACCTATTCCTTCTAAAGAGCAAGTCTCACCAATTGTCCAAAATAAATCATTAGCACCAGTAAAACCTAAAGTTGAAATACCAACAACTTTAAATAATAATATTAAAAATGAAGTTCTCCCTCCAAGACCTAAATCAATACCTAAACCTCCAGAACATGTTAATAAACAAGAAGTGGTTATTAAACAAGAAATGGCAGTCAAACCTGAACCTATTCGAAATCAATTCTCTGTTGGTCGGGATAACCATTCTGAAGTAATAACAAGTGTGCTCAAAGAAATGACCAAGCATAATGATTTAAATATTTTATCTGTGATCAAATCCCCTCGAGAATCTCCACCCAAAGTTAAAAAGCCATCAATATTTAGTCCAGTACCTGATGATGAACCACAAGATGTTAAGCCTTATATTATTAAATCTGAACCAACAGAAAATAATATTGTTATTAAATCTGAACCATTAGATGAAAGTTATAATAAATCTGAACCACTAATAGAAAGTTATGTTAAATCTGAACCATTAATAGAATCTTATATTAAATCTGAGCCAATGAGCCCTGAATTACTGGATATACCTAAATTTGATCCAGAGCTAATGTTGAATCCTGTTGGCCCAACTGGTACTATTGAAATGGATGGAGAAACTTGTAATTCAAATACACATAAAAAGAAAAAGAAAAAACATAAAGAAGAAAAACGTGAGAAAAAGAAACATAAAAAAGATAAAAAGCACAAGGATGGAGAACATAGACATCATAAGCATAAAGATAAACACAAAGAACCAGAACCTATTAGAATTACAATACCAAAAGAAAAAATTAAGCAAATACCACCTGTAGTTATAACTACACCACATTCTCCACCTAGAGGCATTAAGTTAAAAATTGCTAAAGAACGAATTGGAGGTAGTGGTCCAGGTTCTGGAAGTAGTTTACGTATTAAAATCAGTAAAGACGACAGAGGATTAAAAAGGGATCATAGTCCTAATGAAACTACTCCAAAGAGAAATCGTAAAGAAAGAAGAGATTCTGATTCAGGATTAGGTTATAGTCTGAGTTAGTATTTATTGTTTGTAAACTGGAATCGAAACTATATATCATACATTATTATTTTTTGTTTTTGTAACAAAACAAAATGTTGAATAAGTATTTTTCATTTGTTTTAATTTATAAAATGGAATTTATGTTGAAAAAGAAAAAAACATTTTGCATATACTTTTTCTCTTGGATAAATGTTTCGATTTCCGGTGTGTGTCGTTGTGCAATATAATAATAATATAATGCTCTTCCCGACACTTGATTTTTGTTTTCGTTTTGTTGTTAACAATTTAAGTGCCTTTATTTTGTTTGGTATTTTATTATTTTTATATACATGATAAGTCAAACATTCACTTAACGAGTAGACCTCCTAGTACATACTCGTACACATAAATATTATAATAGCTAACATCATCATCTCACACGTCAAGCTATAAACTATAATATTGATTTTGTGATAATTGACGSACATGCGTCAAAATTATTTGTACCACTACCATTGTAAATATTGTAATGTCGACTGAGTTAACAATCATAGAAGAAAAAATTATGGTTTTTAGGAATTTACATATTAAACATTGTATTTTGAAGAGCTCATAATATATAATTTTCTTTTTTTCTGAACTCCCTATGACCTAAATTTTCAACATTCTAGTAAATAAATTTTTTTAAATTGTATATTTTGTATTTGTACTTGGTTATGTAATTATTTTTCTGCGTACATAAGTAAAAAAAATTGTTGTTAAAATAGTATTTTTTTTTTTTTAACTAAAATTCTTATCCTCAATTTCTTATTACACATAGTGTATATATATGGGTAATATGTATATACAATGGTGCACTAAAAATAATAACATGTTCGACCCAATAAAATAAAATTATGAAGGTTAATCCTTAAGATTATTTAAGTTCAACAAAAGCTTTTTCCATATTGATGCAGTTATGGATATTGAAAGAGAACTATCCATTTTGGTCGAATATCTAATAATCGCCTCCACATTGAGATAGTATTTTTTTAAAGTTGTCATCATGTCAAATAAACAAACATAATGCCAATCATTAAATTAATTATAATATTGTTCATATTGTGTATCACTAGTGCATATTGTAAATTATAGAAATTACTAGAAGATCTACAAATAATTGGTATATACATATATATTGAACCGATTGACAGACAAGCAAACTGACACATTTAAGTACCAATTTATAATTATCAAAAAACCAACAACTTGTTTGATTCATTGAAATAATGATTTTTTTTTTCTGATTGATATCAAATGGTTAGGCAAGGGTCTAGGTAAAAGAGAAGATGGGATTGCTGCTCCTGTCCGTGCTAGCCTGAAATTCGATCAAACTGGTGTTGGTTATGACACAGCTAATGCAGAGTCATATGGTGATAAATGGTGGTCTCGTACTTACAATGATGCAGCCAATAGGATAGACGTCAAAAATAAAGTAATCAATTTAAAATGTAGATAATAAAGTTATCATTTAAAAATATACTTAATATTAAATAATAGTTTTAATTCGATAAAATATTATCTTTTTTTAGGATGGAGATGTTACTTTTAAATCAAAGAAAAAAAAAAAGAAAGTTAAGGTAATTGCCAGTTTATATTCCGTATAGTGTGTAAAGATACATGTCATTCAGACCAAGAAACATTTGTCAGATACATATGTTTAATTGACAAACTTTTTTTTGGTTTGGTTAGGACTTAATGTAATATTTAAAATGTTTTAATTAATATATTATTTTTGTTTAGAAAATTAAAACTGAGGAGGTTAAATCCATTTTAGAATTATCAGATGATCAGTTATTCCAAGCTTGTGGTGGGATTACTTGTCATAAGTAAGTTTAATTAGTTTAAGACAAATGTATTATTTAAATTGTGTATAGTGTAAACAAATTCTATGTGTTAACATTAATACTTAAAATACACATAATTGTTTTAGAGCTGCTAGGCATGGATTAAATATGGATGGAAAGTTGGCTAGATTACGTAAACAAGATGAACAATTATTGGCCGCTAATAAAATAAAAGAAGAAACCAGTGTCATGAAAAATAAAAAATAAAATGTAATTGACAATTGTACAATTTTATAAAAATTATTTGATTATAATTTTAAGATAAGATAAATAATTACACAAATATCATACACATACATTTTTACTATTTTTACACATAATTGAAATAATCGTATAAAAAGTATAATAAATCAAGAACTTAATATTATTACAACAACATAATATTAATAAATTACACAAATTGTTATATTACTATAAACACTACAAAATGGTTTTAATTTTATTATGTTTCCTCTTAATTTTAATAATAAATTATAACACAATTTGAGCTTCAAGAAAATGTTTGTCCTTACAATTAAATATGGCAATTTATTATTACCTATTTTAACAATATTAGACAAACTGAAATATCTTATGTGAGCAAATCAATAAGAATACAAATTATACACACGAAAGTATATATTTTAATAACTTAACATTTTTACTTGAAAAAAAAAATTGTCTATGACTAATTTGATTGGAATGTGGTTGCGTTCATAAAGGTGTATTTTATAAAATAAAATATTAATTTCTTAAGATACTTAAATTTTCTAAATTGAGTACCACGTTTGAATCGCTAGATGAATATAATTTAATAAAAATTATATTTATTTTCATACGGTGTAATTACTGTGGTTGATCATCATTGATTACAATTCAAACGCAATAGACGATTTTATTCCTCACTAATGTCTAATGCATCGTAGTTTTATGCTGTCTAATCAATTTGATAATGGCTACTGGCTAGTCGCAACTTGCAAGTGACATAAAATTATTATTTTAGTTTTTAATTTACACACTGAACGCACCCGGTTAATGGAACTTAAATCAAAAATAAATTTGCTTAACTAAGCAGTCGTCATCAAATATTTCAGTACAGAATATTGAATAATTTCAAAAGGTCGTCTTTTATGCTATAACGATATTTTTTGTTCTACAAGAATTCGTATCACAAGTAAGTTATAAATGTAGAGTCCAAGTCGTTACGGCTATTAACGACGTTATTAGCTAGATTATTATTATATGGTAGTTGGTAAGTTTATATAGTTTTAAACATATATATATAAATATATAAATATATTAAYAAATATATAGTTAATTACAAAAGTACAAAACACTTGATTACTAGAAGAAAACTATGCAGATAATTAATATTAGGTATCAATATAATAATAATAATAATATAGGCACCAAGATACTACCTATATWCCTACGTATAAAACCATAAACGATTAAAAATTAGTTTAAAATTGCACGTTCAAATGCCCCTCCCAATTGTAGCTATAATGTAGAACATAATCGACGCGTTTGAAATTTAATTATTCTGGCTCCCTTACAATTTATTAAGTGTGTTGCGCACAATTTCTATAATTGGTATTTACGTCATACGCATTTCAAAACCGAAATGTTYTAAAATCGAGCAAAATAGTTCGTTTTTGTGTGCCTACCGAATTTTTAACGTGTTTCAATTTTAAAGAACAGCAATTCGTACGGATATCAAAAAATTAGACCACAGAACTAAATCGCGCTTCCGATAATGACTTATTTCACTTAGGTATCATAGCCCATAGGTGTGTTGGCTGATGAGAATACACGTGTTCATTCACATCGGTGGTTATAAAATACAAACAGGTGATAGGATAACAGCTGGCACTACACTGTAATAGCACCTATTGTTGTATTTATATAATATGTTTTCCGAAATTTCAGATAAAATCCATCTTAAACCGTGATGTGGTCGTATCAATAGTGCACTCGAAAACGATTGTTCATAAAAATTACGTTTAATAGTTTAATGCCCAACAATTATGGTATGGCCCGATACAATGATACAACACTCGGTTGTTGGGCGCACATTTAAAATAATAAAAGCATAATACTCGAATCATTTCAATTTATAAGAAAAATCTATAGTMTCTGTTTTTCTTACACTACAGGTAAATTGCCTCGGTGATAGGCATCCGGTAATATCATGGCGAGTGACGACCAACCAAAACCTCTTTTAGTTAYTAATATTACTATTACTGTTTATCGCGCGTATGTTAATTATATAGGTCAATGGATCGTGGATTGGATATGTACCTATTATAATCTATATGGCCATATTAGGTGTAACTTAAAAAGAAATTTATCGACGTCATATAACTATAGATTTTTGTTAGCAACATTTTCAATCTTTATAATACTATACGATTATTTTATCTAAGAACATTCATTATTTCTAAAACATTAAACGATTAAACGTTATATATATTTTAAATAATTTAAATGGGTTTAAAACAATAATTTTTAAGTTATTTACTTTGTCTTTTTTGAATGCAAACATATTTTTATTTGAAGTACTACGCATCAATACTATAAAAATCAAATTCCAGGCGAGTAGATTAATCAGTTGTAATCGTTTAAAGTTATAACTCTTAAGCTACTCGTCCAAAACTCAAGTTGTATGTACCGAACTACCAATAAAATATTGTTTCGAAAAAAAAAGTATGTTGATGTTTAAAAAACTTAAAAACGATAGTGATAAGAAGTTAAAAAATATAGGTCAGGGGTAAGTCCTTGTATTTTTTTCTTCAAAAATATTGTTTATGYCTGTAACGTCTTTAAAACATTATCAAAAACGTTGGTATCTATATAGTTTTTGAAATAATGATTGTTATCTGATAAGACAATCGCCTTGTAAAATATAAAATTTGATGCAACACCGACACATCTATAGGGTACTACTTCATAATAACATATTACAAATTTACAAACCKAGTCGATTTTGTTTCGATGCCGCGACGTAGCACACATTTCACATCGTTTCATGCACTAATAAAGGGGATTTATTTTAGGTAGGTAATAACAATATCCTGTCATATAGGGTGGAGTGGAGGTGTATAAAATATATTATAATATACCTAACCWCTATCTACACGTAAATGTAATTAAATATACATTATATACCTATATCATATTATGTACAAAAAACGATATTATCACAGTGACCGCAGTTTAGGGGATATAGGGTTGAAATCGTAGTGTCGTGGGTGGGGACCGCGGGGACTAGACGCATAATAACATCGCATTTTTTTTATATCAGCTGTACATAGTAATACTATAATAATAATAATAATGTATAACATAAAATACGCGTTTGAGTGCCCTGACGGCGGGTAGGCGGGGGGGTCGTCGATCACAGTTCGGTGGTGACCTCCACGTCCTTCCGGTTGAACGTCGTCAGCCCGTTGCCGTTGTGGATCGCGGGACGTCCGAACTCCTTCTTCTCACGGAACATCACGTTGTCGTTGGTGGGACTGATGACGGCCGCCGTGGCAGCGGACTCGGAGTCGGCCGCCGGGTCAAACGCCATGTTCGTCCGACCGAACGTGCTGGTGCCGCCGTTCGACATGCCGCGGCCCATGCTCGACGTCCTGGCCGTGGTCGCCGCTTCCGAGCTCACTGGACTGTGTCCGTCTGCGGATTACGCGATTGCGATATGTTTTTAAAAAATTCATTGGAAACGATGTTTTCATGTTTTTTATACGTCGCCCTACTACCGTTTTATTGTAAAGGTTATAAAATATGTGATAGTATAATATAATAGGTACACTGTATAATATTGATCTTTTCGAGGCGTTTATATTTCATTCTCATTCGAAAWCTATATTGTGAATATTTTTAYACTTAACCGACATATTCGTCACTATTAACTTATTGGCGTTCTAGTATTATAATGGTATATCGTTATTTTATCTGTTCTCAGTGAACCATCATCATTCGCCTAAATTGTATTTTGTAAATTTTCAAACGTATATATTCTAGATTTATTTTTATTATGTTTTTTTTTCGTCGACACTATTAATTACATAGTCACAACAAAATATTATTCTACGAAATTATGTTGGGTTTTGTATAATTCGCACTTTTAATGGAGAAAAAATTATAATTCGAATACTATTACGTGATATAAGTAAACATTAGGAAATCGTTTATATTCAGCAGCATTTTCATTTTGTTTTTCGTTGCGTAAGTTTCACGACCAATTATTTTAAAGTATAATATTATAGTCAAAAATATAATTTTTACTCGCATTTGAGTGCTACAATTTCACTATATCCGACATCTCTGCTACAATTTGGGCCATGCGACAAGCACGCATAATATTATTACAATAACGAGTTGGACAACTATTGTTTTCGTGAAAAATTATTTACGTGGGTACCTTAACGGCAGCGGTTTAGTACATTAATAATTTAATAATATTGGCGACCGCAGTCAATCGGCTTTGGGGGGGTGCAGCACTCGTTGCGTACACCGCCTGCTAACGCTTATGGCACTATAAGACCAGATTAATATTTTTTTAACATGATTGATTTCATTTTTGTGTAGTCGGGACTAGACTGTCTATTATTTATTTCCCCACTTTGACCCACGCACAACATGATGAACAATTTGAGTTTTGTATAACCAATTTTGAGATATTGACTTTTAATTTCGTTGCGAATTGACCTATTATTATATCAACATTAAATGCGCGAGAACGTTATCTACGGAACCTCAAACTTCATAGGATTTCATTAATATTTTAATTTTAAAATTAATTATAACAATGTCAAAAATTACAATTTTTTAATCCTCGCAACGACTCGCTCAAAATTTAAAACTGCACCGTAAAAACACTATAGGTATAGTGTACAACATACGTATACGTATACACTACAGTGCATACGATTACATAAAATAGRTATGGTCTAATTGGTCTATAACGGGCCTCGCATTTAAATTTGATAATACATATATAATACACTATAACAAATTCACTCTAAATTCCATTGAACGCAAACTTTCCGTGCCTTGTGTTTGTAAGACGGAGATCACACATTCGGCTCACATCATCCCCTTTGAAAGTTCTGAGCAAGGTATATATAGTTGTTGTTGTACACGTCTTGTACATATTATATTTTTTTATGTGATATTAATGATTATTATTATTACCTAAGCTGTCGACATTCTCTTTGGTAATGTACCCGACGTTGTCCATACTGAACGTGT